TTTTTATGACATTTTTTGCCTTACTATACTATGACGTTTTTATGACATTTTATGCGATACTATACTATGACTTTTTTATGATATTTTTTGGCTTACAATACTATGATGTTTTTGTGACATTTTTTGCCTTACTATACTATGACGTTTTTATGACATTTTGTGCCTTACTATACTGTGACATTTTTTGTCTTACTATACTATGACATTTTCTTGCCTTACTATACTGTGACGTTTTATGACATTTTGTGCCTTACTATACTATGATGTTTTTATTACATTTTATGACTTACTATACTATGACATTTTTATGACATTTTTTTCCTTACTATACTATGACATTTTTATGACATTTTTTGCCTTACTATACTGTGATGTTTTTATGACATTTTTTGGCTTACTATACTATGACATTTTTTGCCTTACTATACTGTGATGTTTTTATGACATTTTTTGCCTTACTATACTATGACGTTTTTATGACATTTTTTGCCTTACTATACTATGACATTTTGTGCCTTACTATACTATGACATTTTTATGACATTTTATGCCATACTATACTATGACTTTTTATGACATTTTCTTGCCATACTATACTATGATGTTTTTGTGACATTTTTTGCCTTACTATACTATGATGTTTTATGACATTTTATGACCAACTATAATATGATTTTTTCATGACTTTTTTTGCCTTACTATACTATGACGTTTTTATGACATTTTTTTTGCCTTACTATACTATGACATTTTCTTGCCATACTATACTATGACTTTTTTATGACATTTTTTGCCTTACAATACTATGATGTTTTTATGACATTTTTTGCCTTACTATACTATGACTTTTTTATGTCATTTTTTGCCTTACTGTACTACGATGTTTTTATGAAATTTTTTGCCTTACTATACTGTGACGTTTTATGACATTTTGTGCCTTACTATACTATGACGTTTTTATTACATTTTATGACTTACTATACTATGACATTTTTATGACATTTTTTTCCTTACTATACTATGATGTTTTTATGACATTTTTTGCCTTACTATACTATGAAGTTTTTATGACTTTTTTTTCCTTACTATACTATGACTATTTTATATTTTTTGGCTTACAATACTATGACATTTTTATGACATTTTTTTTCCTTACTATACTATGACATTTTTATGACATTTTATGCCATACTATACTATGACTTTTTATGACTTTTTTTCCTTACAATACTACGATGTTTTTGTGACATTTTTTGCCTTACTATACTATGATGTTTTATGACATTTTATGATAAACTATAATATGATTTTTTCATGACTTTTTGTGCCTTAACATACCATGACATTTTCATGACATTTTTTGCCTTACTATACTATGACGTTTTATGACATTTTTTGCTTTGCTATACTATTATGTTTTTGACATTTTTTAACTTCTTTTACTATGATGTTTTTATGCCTATGCCGTTATCGACATTTTTTACCTTACTATACTATGACATTTTTTGCCTTACAATACTATGACTTTTTTATGACATTTTTTGCCTCACTATACTATGATGTTTTTACGACAAAATTTTGTCTTATTGTACTATGACGTTTTTATGACATTTTATGCCAAATGTCATAGTGTAGTAAAGCATTAAGATGTCATAGTATAGTATTGCACAAAAAGTCATAAAAACATTATATAGCTAGGTGTAAAATGTCTTAAAAACATCAATGTACAGTAAAGCAGAAAAAGTCATGAAAATGTCATAGTATGGTAAGGCATAATATGTCATGGTATAGGATTGTCAGCAGTCTAGTTCCCTGTGAATCTGTGTTTGTAATGTCATTATTGCTGCTAGACACATGGTCAATGAGAGTAAGGTAAGACGTAAGAGGCATATTCTCAAGTAAAGCCTACGCTGAGCTCAAACTGTAGCTTGTTACTATTTAAAATATTGGACGTTTTCACTGCACTTATTGACATTCATCGATTTAATGAGATCAGTGTTTTGCCTCCCACACCATGTTTTTGGAATAAGCCCTCGTGCAAAATCGAGCCAAATTCATTTTTAAGAATAATAAAACATTCAAATATTCTGCTTGTTTACTCTGCAGAACGTTTGTATTTTTAATGTGCTCTGTGTAAACACATGACCTGCTTGTTTTATGCCTTGGTAGAAAACCAATTTGATTTTTGCCAAGGGTGTTATACTCAATGAGATAAGACTGAATGTGGCAACTGAGCATTGAACAGAAAACCCTCCTGAAATTGCCCTTCATAGATATTCAGCTTTAATTTTCAGGATCAGACGTGTGTTCAGGGGGAGATACAGGGGGAAAAAAAACAGACAAAAAATGGCTGCTCTGTAGCAGCAGGTTAAAAAAAGTTTATTTCAGGTATGCTGTGTTTTAGCATTTCAAACTGCTCCATTTTACATAGTTTAAACTTCAATAACTCACATGAAAGGGAGGGAAGTCTCTCACCTCAAAGGAAAGAAAACAAGCAAGGAAGTGAACATTTGGTGCACAAAGCAGGAGTTTTAAATGAGCACGAACAGTGAAGTACAAATTACATCTTCCTGCACAAAATTTGTGAACATTATGTGACTTCACCTCAACGTGACAATAATACAATTTAGAGACATTGTCCTCTCTTATTCCTCACATTCAGGAAAGTCATGTTACTCTGTCTAAAGCTTGGGTAGTTTCTAGTTTTCTTGGTTTAAGAAAGGCAATAAACATTAGGCCTTTCTCAGTCTGAGTTTTCATTCATTGCAACTCATTGTCAGAGCAGTTAAAAGCTCAAAAAAAGCTTGTGTCAGCAGAGTCGAGTATAGTTGTGTTGAAGTGTATCATTAGAGCTGGTTTAGATTCAGAATAACTAAATCTACACCAACTCAAAGTAAAAGTGACACAGCTCAAAATCAGATATGTGCAGACATAGTCGAAACTGGAAAGAATCAATCAAACAACAACTTCAAGTTTTGTCATTGCAATGATTCAATCACTGGTGCCAGAGGGAGTGCTTGATTATTAAAAACATAACAAATTAAGTGCTGATTGGGACGGCTGATACTCTGAGGCACTTTTCTCAAAACAGCCGAGAGCCGCTGATAGATGTTGAAGATAAACCAGAGGGATGGAAAGAGAGCTAAAAAGCATTCAGAGTGCACATGTGCGCGTGATGCCATTTTCTCTGCACCTCTACACTCAGGCCTGACATGTTTTTTATAACTTTTAGGATGATGAGCTAGTGGAGAAGAGGTTTCATTACTGATCGTCGGAGTGCTTTGGATATGTTTTATTTTGACTATTACAAGATTGCAGTTTTATCCAGAGTGCACTCAGCCTGACAATTTTCACTGGTAGAAGCTAAAAAGCAAAGCAGTTTTCTGTCTCTTTTTCCCAAAGAAAGAAAAAAACAGTAAGTCTGGAGTTTTTGCATTTAGAAAGGAAACAAAATAAAATCAGTCATTGGTATTAATGGTTAAAACGTTCTGATATCAGTTCACAAACATCAACAAACTTCAACACAGTCCAAAAAAAGTCCAATGTCCACAGTTTACCAAAGCCCACGTTTTTCCTGCAGTGCTGATTTGAATGGCACGTACACATTTTTGCGATCACTGGGGACTTATGTAATCAAAAAATGTTTATTTGGCTCTTCCTTCAAAAGAAAATGGATCCCACGGCAGCCAAGTGGAGCATTTTTTTTTTTTTTTTACACTTGACTGGTTGAGATTGCAAATTCCCAAGATATTTGCAAAAACAGTTTTTTTAGCATACATTAATTTTCCATAACTTTTCCCTCTATAGTACCATCATGCTGTTTGATTGCGCCTGAAAAAAAATCAGTGGATTGCAGGATCTAATGGACGTTTCTGTCGCCTGCAGGACTGTTCCTAAATCAGTGAGGAAGACCAAGATGACAGAGATGAAAGGCCGGCGGGTGTTCGGAGTTCCTCTGCTCCTCAGTGTTCAGCAGACAGGAGAGCCGCTTCCTCCCAGCATCCTCAGAGCCCTGGTCTACCTGAAGACCGAATGTCTGGACCAGGTAATGACACTGAAGGTCACGAGAGGCTCTGTTGAACATGACAGAACCTTTTAAACATCTTGTAAAACCATATTGAGGCAGTGACATCCAGTGGCTTTCTGTTTCTGAATGATTCATGGACTATAATAGTAATTCAAAACTTACAGTAATTTTTCCGTATCGTGTCCTCTCTCAGGTGGGCCTTTTCCGGAAGTCGGGGGTGAAGTCTCGTATCCAGTACCTCCGTGAGCTGGTGGAGTCCGACCCTGACGGCATTTCATACGACGGTCAGTCCGCTTTCGACGTCGCCGACATGGTGAAGCAGTACTTCCGGGACCTGCCTGAACCCATCTTCACCAGCAAACTCTGCGAGTCCTTCCTCCACATTTACCAATGTGAGCAGTTACTTCTGTTACCAGCTTTGAGGAAGACATTTCTTGTGCAGTGAATTTAATTTCTCGCCTTAAAGAATAAGCAGAAAAGTTTGATTAAAATACCTAGAACAGAAAACAGAAGAGAGAACACTGTTGAGATTTTTGGTAGAATTTTTCATGACGGATTGTGATGTCGGTCTGTTAGTCCGTTAGTCCATAATCTTTGGTCCAATCTAGTGAAAAATCTCAAGATATTCTGAATTGTCATATTTATGGTGCCTGAACAACTTTTTATTTAGTGCAACTAGCAGATTAGCATGCTAACAAGCTAGATTTAACTATAATGTCAAAAACAACTTGCTATTATTTAGCACACTAGTATGTTAACTAGTATTAGCATTAATATTAGAATGTTAAATTAGTGGTCTGTTAACATACCAACATGTTAGTAAATTAGCAGGTAAGCCTGCTAAAGCTAAAATATGTTATTGACTAACATGCTAATCATTAGGGTACATGCTAAACATTTGCATAAGGTCACTCCGCTGTTGCGATTGGAGGTTTGAAAGTTTTTAATTTCAGTTTTCAGTCAACTCTTACTGAATTTCTGACCGCAGATTTCCCAAAGGATCAGCAGCTGGTTGCGGCTCAGGCGGCCATCTTGCTGCTTCCAGACGAGAACAGGGAGGGGCTGCGAACGCTGCTCTTCTTCCTGCGAGACGTGGTGGCCTGCGTGGACGAGAACCAGATGACTCCCACCAACATCGCCGTCTGCCTGGCGCCGTCGCTTTTCCACCTCAACACCCTGAAGAGAGACGCCAACGCTGCCAGGTGAGCTGAGACCACAGATAGTTTTTTAAAGTATTGTAAGGAAAATAACGAATCACATATTGAGTTTTTTTTTAAATTTATTTCTGGTTTGTTAATTGTCATAAACTGCAAATTGTTTATATTATATTTCATTTGGAGTTTATTTTCTGGTCGTCTTATTCTTAAAGCGTCTTTGAACACACCACTGAGAAATCCCTGCTAACAACACCGTTACTGTGACTTTATACAAGTTAGTTCCGACCAAGTAATTTGATTGGACGAGAAGCATTCTGTGAGTGCTGATATACAGCAACACTGGGACTTTTAACTTGATGTATCACTCCGCTCAACCGTTAATTTGCGTTACGTTAACGGTCGTTATCTATCTCAGATTGTAATAAACTTTGCAAAGATTAATATATTTCCAGAAATAACATTTAAATTACATGCCGTATGGTCGTCAGAAGAGCATGAAGGGAAGAAGCCTGGATAATTAAGGGCACACCTGAGGTAACGTGTAGGAAAGTAGCAAGCTAGACTGCAAGCATTGTGCAGGTCAGGAAAATTGTGTTGCTTAGCAACAGTCCAGTACCAGTCCAGTTACTATTACTACACTACTTGTATACTATTTGTGTTGCCAAATAATTGATAAAAAAACAAATCATAATCTGTTGTTGCTTATATGGCGCTCGCAGAACTGTTGTATAAAAGCAATATCACACTCGTCGTGATGTTGTTGCTCAATAATCGCGGCTCTCTCCTCAGTGTCAGCCTCTGGGTTAGCTCGGTTTGTGTGTGCATGTGTGTCTGGTTGTGTGTGTGGCAGGTTGCTGTTTAGGTGCCACAGAAACATGTTTTTCTTCCTCCTTTTGTTGTTTCAACGGACGTCTCTTTTCCAAAGTTCCCAGCGTTCACACATGACTTCACCTCTGGAATCGGACCAAGCCGTTAGACACACACACATATACACTTTTCTCTGTGTAATGGGAAGCTGTCAGCAGAGTTTACACAACGACCACGTTACATAACTTCCACCGATCTCCATCTGGCCTCAGCTTCATTCCCTGATATGAAAGATAGTTTCTGCTCGTTGGACAGGAAGTTAGGAAGAAAAAAAAAAAGAGCGCCAACAGAGAGATAGGGACGATAACATGAGGGGACAGAGTTTGGCCGCTGAGAACGATAACGCTCATGCGGGCTGGTGGTTTGTATTATTAGAATATGAACTTAATTATTTGGAGACACTCAGTCCCACCAGTGCTGACTGTTTATCTGAGCTACTGAGTTTGTACTATGCATGAATGGCTTTCCTTAACATTAGGCATCGCATAGGCTTAATTAAAGGAGACATTTATGAACCTAAAGAATAACAATGGGTTGGTCCTGTCTCTCTAGCTGTGTCCTAATTCAGGGGTGGCATCCTCAGGGGAGCGATACTATCAATCTACTTATTTGACGTACTGAAAGGAGCCCACAAATTTTTATTTAGTCTTGTGTTTTTAAAAAGTCTATTATGTGTGTGTTCGACTGTGTACCAAGTCAGTGGTCACACCCTTTGTAGGACGCGGTATACGAAGGTGTGGCCCTTCACAAAAACTTGAGGTTAACGTTAGCCGTTAAATTGATTTGAAACCCAATACAACACTGTAGGTGTTGTTTGCTGCCATATTATATTCATTACCGGTGTGCAATGAATCTTGGGAAAGGTTGGACCAGGAAAAGAAGGTTGCATTTGTAGGATCCTTCAAAATGGGACAGTCTAGGTGCAACGCTGTGACGCAGTCGGTCTTCAAAGGCAGCCTCCAAAGGATAAATTCCCTGAATTGAGACCATGATTGGGACACAGCTTCTCTACTTCCTGACTCCAACTTCTTTCAGCCCCAAACACAATGGTTCCTACTGAGGATGTAAATCTGTAAAAACAACTATAAAGTTTCATTATTAAAAACACTCAGTAATTTAAGAAGATGTGTTCATTGCAGTTTTTAGTAAATGTTTCTCAAACAGTGGGAAGTAGTGCGTTTGTTGGGGGCTGTTTTCTGTAACAGATTAATCCACATTTGGTGCTCTAGTTAGTATGTGGGGCAGCAGGACAGCGTGTGTGTTCATGGTGATGAAGGAATATTACACCCAGGGTAACAGTGTGGCTCACTGATGTGTTTTTAATAGTTTTTAGAAACAGAAAATACTTCAGCCTTTCCTCCATCATCTTTTTATTTACACTCCTTCCCCACCACACTCTCCTCTCTCCACGTTTTATCATCCATCTTATTTCCCTCTATCCTTCATCCTCCACCCTCCCCCCACATCCTCTCCTCCACATTTTTCTGATCATCCTCTCCCCCTTACTGTTTTCTCCTCTCGTTCTTGTAATCATTTTCCCTCTCACCAACTCCTCTTCCTTTTTCCACCTCTCCCTTCAGCTCTGATGGGACAGTAGATGGAAACGATAGAACAACACAATCAGCGGTTTGTGCCTCCCTTTCTACTGGAAGCCAAAGTCCCGGGCCCGTCAGAAATGTCACACTTTATGGTGGGAACAATAACTCGGAAAATTGACTGCAGCTCGCCACTGTTTCTCCCACAGATTTATGAAACCTCATCTCTTCATCCTCCGCTTTCCTGTTGTTGCTTTGACAGAACGAACCACTCCTACTACAACACAGACTTTTTTAATGGTCCAACCATCCGTCCGACCGGCTCGGCTTGTTTTAAGCGTCAGCGTCTAATTTCCCGGTTGACAAACGCTCGTCCCTCAAACTTTTTCTTATTCATCACAAGCTAAAACCAAAACTTCATATCCTGTGAGTCTATCGGTTTCCAGTAAACCACAGTGACGCACCATGAAAGCTTTCCGTTGTAACCCGAATCTGTCAGCTGCAGTAATTGTGGCTCAGTGATGCTGATTCCTGTCTGTAAAACCTGCGTCAGCTGACAGGCACCAGTGTCTATCCTTTACCCTGACAGTGAACTTGATCTAGCGTTGTTGTTGTTGCTGCAGGTCCAGTCACAGGAAGTACAGCTTGGGCCGCCCGGATCAGCGGGACCTGAGTGAGAACCTGGCTGCCACCCAGGGCCTGGCCAACATGATCACAGAGGCCCAGAGACTCTTCCAGGTACAAAGACCAACAACCTGCTCCACAAGCAGCAACTACACCACAGATCCATTTTTATTTTCATTATAAAGACCATTTGTGAAGTTTATCTAGAGACAAAATAAACACCTATCTTTTCTGTAGCTTCCAGAGTTTTGGCCCGGTCAGCGTCTCAGCGCCGCCGGCCCCACAGAGGATTCCCTGTCTGAGGAGGGGGGAGGCCCCGTGTGCTCCAGTCAGAGTGGAGGCGAGGAGGAGCAGCAGGAGGAGAGGAGGACCAAGCTGCAGCAGAGCACCCAGCACCTCCTGAAGGAGGCCAGGGAGAAGAGCCGGGGCTGGGAGAGCCACCCTGCTCCGGAGCACGTGGAGCTGGCCTTCAAAAAGGTAAGAGGAAAAACAGGTGTTACAGCTCCATACAGACTGAATTTGTTATGAATAAATAAATAATACATTTATTTTATAAATAAATGCAAAATCTAATTTACTAGAAGTATAGTGTGCTATGAAATAATGAAGCACTATATAGTATTAATAAACAGAGACTAGGGGGGTGTGAACAGTTTACTGAGTTTGGAGGGAAGTGTGAACAAATTATGGGAAATTAATTATGAAAAGTGCAAAGGAAGTTAGAATCAATGAAATACAGCAACAAGGAAGGCAAATACCATACTATATAAAAAATACTATAAAATAATACTAAAAAATAATGACCATGAACTTATAAAACCAGAATATGACCAATTATGTAGACATAGCTAAAGAAAAAATAATGAGTCGTTTTTAGGAAGGATGTATAATAAAGTAAGTAATGAAAAAGAACATAAAAAGGAAAGATTCTGACTTTTTTAAGTGTCTTTTTTTATGCCTGTCATAGCCAGGACCGAGCGCAGAGGAGAGATGTAACAAAGGTCCCAAAGCGGACCTGAACCAGGGACAGTCAGGTCCACGGTCGCTGCCTCAACCTCTAAGACACAGATTTAATCTTAACATGCCAAATGTGCAGTTACTTCCTCCTCTGCATACGGACCATAAAGTGATCATTTCTACATTGATTATCTACATTTCTATGTCAAAATGTTAGATGACCTAATCTGAAGTTTCTTTCTTTCATTATTCAGACAACTTTTTTACACCATTTTTCACAGCCACAGTCCTTCAGTGTCTTCTCATGTGATCCCACACCGACTCCATGATGTTGACATCAGGGCTCTGTGGGGGTCAGACCGTCTGAATCTACTCAAACAAAAAACACTAGAGGGTTATAGGCACTAATTGGACTGGTTTTTGTCAGTCCTACTCGGCAGCACTTACAATAACACCTAGCCTATCTCACAGAGAGCAGCAGAGCATGCAGCCGGTCAGATGGACAACACATTTTAGGACCTGGAGTTTAAAGAACTTGAATTTTGAAAAAAAAAAAAAAGTGAAAGTAAGATAAAATAGAAAAAAGAAATAAAGGAGGCAAACTCCACTGAACACCACCTCTTCCTCTACTTACCTTCAGATAGACGATGGCTGCCCGCTGTGGATGTGGCGAGGCTCCACGGAGGTGGACGCACCCCACAAGGAGCTGCTCCACCGGCTGCTGAGGGAGCAGGAGCTGTGGGAGGGAAGCCTGCGTCAGACCGCCATCATCCAGACCTTGTCCAAGGACACCGAAGTCTACCACTACCTCCTGCAGAGCCAGGGCCACGGCCTGGACTCCCGGCCCCCCCAGGAGCACCTGCTGCTCAGGTAATGAGGCAAGGCGAGCCCCAGGCTTTCACGGGCCTCTGGGTCTTAACCTGCTGAGCTCTGCAGAGCGAGGAGGACGGAGGAGTCAAAGCTGAAACTTCTCAAAGTGTCAGTCTGATTTAAAGTAATACAGAGTAGAGTGTGTGTGTGTGTGTGTGTGTGTGTGTGTGTAACATGAAATTTTAATCCAACCCCGGAGGCAGATGAGACATGGGTCTGTGTTTGCAGTTGGACCACGTCACACATGAACTTTAGGTTACCCCCCTAAAAGAGACGAAAACAAGCACTCAGTGCACATTTTTTCTTATGACTCAAATCGCATGAAAAGACCATATGACTTTCTGACCTCCCTCCTCTGTCTGTGGCTCTCAGCTCCAACTGAACTGAACTGACTTTCCTAAACCAGCTGGGCGCCTTAGTTTTTAACAAATGTTACTCAAACAGGACGAAACTGTGCATTTGTTGGGGACTATTTTCAGTGGCGGATTAATCCACATTTAGTGCTGTAGTGACTATTTGGGGAAGCAAACAGGTGTGTGTGGGGCTGACTCAAAATGAGCTACAGTGTGTGTTTGCTGTGTGTCAATCAGACACTTGCAGGGTATTTTATTTTCCTTTTACTGCCATCTTTATTTAAAACACCATACATGGTGTACAGATTCAAATTTCACTACAGTAAACAGCAAAAATAAAAATGCAAGAATTTTTTTTCATCACCTCATCATCTTCCCCCTCCTCCTCCTCCTCCTCAGGACCTGGCAGACAGACCTGACCGCCGGGCCTCTCTACCTGTCCTCTGTATCCACTGAGCACCCTGAGGTTCTGGCGGAGGGGGTCAGGGCTCAAGTCCACTCCTGCCTCTACCTGCTGGAGCCCACAGGAGCCAGGAAGACCCGGCTGACGCACCTCTGTCGAACCGACACCAGGTGAGGAAGGAAGCAGAGGGAGGGAAATTTTGTTTTTGCTCATTTTACTTATTATATTATGAACTACTGGCTAAAGGTGAATGGGCAAGGGAGGGAAGAGAAGCTAAAAGACCTGATAATTTTATCTGTATTGTTGAGATGAAAATGGCAGGATGGTCCTTTAAGCTGAGACAGAAGTAAAACCAAGGGCAGAGTGAGCTGCAGGAAGTACAGAGAGGATTTAAGGCCGTGAGAAGCCTATTAAAAGAAATATCTGGAGAGCGCAGTTAGACCACCTTATCTGTCTTAATTGAGCCCGTTCTGTGTTTTTGACCTCTGCCAGCATCTATCTGCAGCGCTATCACAACCTCCCTGTAGGTGAGCATATGAGAGAGAGGAAGACGAGGAGGAGGAGCAGCCCTTTTTTCTCATGATTCATGCCCTTTGAAAATAAGTAGCTGCAGATTTTCTGCTGCTTACATGATCAATTTGACTCTCAGCAGAGCCCTGCAGCTCCATTTGTCTCAGTTGATTAAATGAAATGAACCTTGGTGCGACAGAAAACAGGTGGCAGCGGCGCTCTCACCGAGCTCTGGCGTTACCACACTGGTGGGTTTTTTTGTTTGTTTTTTACCCCCCACCCTCAGCAGCAGCAGCCGGGGCAGCAGGAGGAAGAGACTGCTGCAGATTTGGTCAATTCAGTTATGAGCATGCTCAGTGTTTCCCCGGCACAGGTTCGATAAAACAGAGAGTGCAGGGAGGAAACTGATAACAGACGTGTACGGAGGCTCAATCCTGCCAAAAAAACTAAACAAAAACACTGTTAGTTACTTAAACTCACTTTGTTTTAAATCAAGATTTTATGATATGCTTGTTTTTTAGTCAAAGTTTTGAGATTTATTCAGTGTCGAAACTTAAGGTTATAATTCATAACTTTTCCACAATAAAATGTCTAAAAATGACGATCTGTTATATAGTTTTTTATACTTACATTATCTCAAATGTTTCCATCAATTATCAAACCAGAGAAATCTGTGATTTTAATCAAGGTAATGCTCTTTAGTTTTTTTTTCATCTTCCATAATGTACAAACGATCAGACCTATCAGTTCTTACATAAAACAAACAGATTCAACAAAAATAAAAGAACAAGAATGTTAAAAAAATAAAGAAATTAAAGAAGAAAAGGTGATAAAATGCTGACGTGGACATGGACGCCTCAAAGTGATGTTCAAGGTCAATTAGAAAAACAAGTCATGCTGCGTTTGTCCCGTAATTCTGAACAAGAAACGTTAAAACGTTGACTACCTTAGTTTGTATATCTCATAACTTAAGCTTTTTTTAAACTTAAGTTTTAATGTTGATTTAATAATGTTCCGTCAGTCCGTTTCTCTTTGCAGGGAAATGAGAACAACTGAGTTTGAGAGTGAAAATGGCGACTCCTGACGTCAAAACAAGGGAGGAAAGGCGAGGACAGATTTGATCTATAACCGTGTGATTATCTCAGCGGGTTCTCCGTCAGCACATCATTACTGAACTGAACTTGAACGCATCACTTCGACACCCGTCCACGGACATAGATGACAGTGATGGAGACCAGTTACTGTTATCAAACATTCACACGTTCACGTCTCAGACGTTTAGCTGAAGCAGAGAAATGTAGCGTTCGTGCAGAAGTGAAATAAGCTTCAATTCGAGATCATTCACCAGCAGCCAGCAGGAGTCTGAGCCGCCTCGTCCTGCCAAGGTCCCTGTTATGCAAGAGTGATCATGTAAGAAACCCAGAGGGATGAATGCCTTCACTCTTGGCTTTGTCTGTCTGTCACTTCCTCTCGCCTTTCATTTCCTCTCATGACAGAGCTCGAGCTAAGCGTCTGCAGTGAGTCGGGCCGTCTTGGGCTTATTTGCTATGACATTAATTTTAAGTGCTTGTTAGCTTTCAAGGCAAGACAACAGACCCACAGCATCAAGGTCAATGGGGCTTTTTACAGTACAGGCCTGTGAAAGTGATGCTATCGCCTCCAGAGGAAATTAAATACGTTATGGCCTCAGTGAGTGAGTGAGTGGGTGGGTGAGCGAGCGAGCGAGTGAGTGGGTGAGCGGGTGAGCGAGTGAGTGAGTGGGTGAGCGAGCGAGCGAGCGAGCAGGAGACGGCAAAGGATGTTTAGTTTGGACTGAAACTGGAGAGAAAACTAAAGAAACAACAGACACATTAAAGATGCAAACATGCTTCACTTTTAGAGTTGTGCAGTTTTAGCAAATGTGCTGCTGTTGGCAGGAAATAATACCGTTATTTACCAAAATAAAACATCACAGACAGCACAGGTAAAACTAACCCTTTGTTTTTGTGTGTGGACGCAACTGTCGAGAAAAATATCATCATAAAATGTAAAGAGCAAAACTGTATGGCCAGATGGAGCTGGAAAGTTTGTTCTTCTGTCCCTGCAGAGTTTTAAAAATGTATAAAGAAAATGTTTATTCATGACTGGGATATGAAGATGAATTCAAGTTTATCCTAAACAGCCTTTAAGCATGATATAATCTTTAATCTTACAGACAGTGGGAGCGCTGATGTCCTCTTAATGAGGGTTACTGTCTTTACAAGATTCATTGTGTTACTGTTAGGAAAACAACAGAAAAGGGACCAGAATTTCTTGGCAGTCGAAACCAGAGCTGAAACCTTTCTGTGGAATTGAACTCGTGAAGTTATTTGTCTGCTTTCTGACCTTTTCTTCTCCGTTCTGTGTTTTGTCGTCCAGGGGTCGGTCGCAGGAGTGGCACAGCAAAGTGAGCGGACATCTTCTGGCCTCCGGTCTCCTGTCCATCAGGGACTCCTTCAGACCAGAATACAAAGAGACTAAGATCTGAGGCGGGAGCGGACGACGAGGACTTGGGATGGTTTCGCAGTTATCTGGTGAAACTGCATCGACTCCCACCTCATGGCAGAACGCAGGAGACGACGGCGTCGTCTTCGTGGGACGTTCTCTAAGTTTAAAACTCGAGGCTCGGAGCTCAGCACGCAGGGAGGGAAGGTTACCTTTGAGGGCTTCACTAAACCACTTTCTTCTATTGGAGCTGCTCTATGCCTTCACTTTTTTCTTAATGACCTTGCAGACTGCCAGCAGCACGCCTGCGCTCCCCGCTGCCACCGTTACGCTTCACAAAAAAAATGCAAACGAAGGCGAGCTGAGACAAAGGCCGTTTGATTCGGCGGTGAAAAGCCGAGGCCTGATGTGAACCTCTAACTCTGGTGGAGATGAAGCAAGTGGACGGTGAAGCAGGAGAAGAAGGCAGGGGGAGGAAACACATGGCAGCTGCCCGGATGAACACAGGAAATAAGGACAGAAAACATCAGGAAACAGACTTTTTTTTCATCCAGCAGACGTTTGGCTTCAGTGGAGAGAGGATGGTGAAAACGCAGGACGGCTGCATCAAACCTACAACCAGGAACAGAGCAGTGTCAGAGAAAGAAAGGAGACGCAGCCGGGGACTGAAAGCCTGAACGGTGCCGCCGCTCGATGACAGGATGTCGCCTGGTGTCTGACGCTGTGTCGACGGTTTCTCTGCAAAGAAAGATGAAAAACTCACAAACAAAAACCAGATTGATACCAGGGGGAGGCGCCTTCACCTGCAGCATGTTTAAAGACAATTATCCACGAACCAGAGCCACATGAACTGAACTGAACTTTCTCTCCAAATCAGAGAGAGGACTGTTTTCCATTTAAACGAGGCTCGCAGCAGCTGGATCCAGCTGTGGCGAGGAATTAGCGCGACGTCACAGCCCGCCTCTTTGTCCCCCCTCTTTGAGTGACTGTTCTTTGCTTTTTAAATTCGCCCCTGTGACTTCGACCCATTCTGCAACAGGACGCCACGTTTGCCACAGTTCAAAGGCGGGCCATATCTACCTCTCCACAGGACGACGCAGCCACCGTTGCGTGACTTTGAAGAAGCGCAACAAAAGTTGTGAATTGACGAAGGTCTCGCCGCACGGCGGGGGACAAAGCCTTTTTTTTGTTTTTGGTGCGTGTGCGTGTGTGTGTGTGTGTGTGCTTCCCGGTGCAATGACGGATATCCAACCAGACAACTCCATGAATTTTTTAACATTTGTATTTATTCTTTGCGATGTCCATGTGTCTCTGGGCTTGTTCAGTCTTATTTCATGCGGCACCTGAGTGTCGCTTCACCGTCGAAGTCGGCTTGTCCTACATAGGTCAAAGAAAATGTTAATATGTCAATTTAACCCCATACTTCAGATTATTTAACTTAATGTATATCTAAATACAAATTATATCCAGATATGTTTATTTAATTTTGAGCTTTCAGAAAATCTTATTTTGTTTGTGTGTGTGTGAAATCTAAATTTATCAGTGCCAAACACCTAATTAAAATGTTTATTTCTCTCAAACTGTTTCCTGTTGTTTTTTCGAGTGATTCTTCCTCTCTCCTCTGCGCCTTCTCTCGCTGCCAAACAGATTACACCGACTGTAATTTGGGAGGAAGGTGGAGGGAAACAGCAGCCAGTGTGAGGATGAGGTGCCACACTGTGCCACTGAAGCACGAGAGATTAATACGCCTGGCGGTGCGATCGCCACCGGTGAACTCACCTCTTCTTCCTTCCCTTACACTCACGACACCCACTTGTGTCCAATTTGCATAAAGCTGATTTACATATCTTATTGATTAATCTCTGAGATCTGATCAGTTAAAATCACCCGGCGCCGAGATACACGTGCCGAGCGACAACATGTGAGGTAAAAACACGTCTCGTGGCGAGGACGCCGTGCCTCGGTCTAAACAGGATTTTAAGGAAGAGGAATTAATTTATGCAAATTACAAATAACAAGCAGCAAAGTGCCTGCAGGCAGCTTTCATTTCTGTACAAGTCTGTTCCTTCCATATGGGGCTGAAACACCGTGAAGTGAACTCGGGATGAACTCGAGGTCAAAGGTTAAAGTCAAGCCATGTGGTCATCTATAAAGTGTGTAGAGTTCACAGGTTTGATCACAGTCAAAGTGTTTTGTTTTTACTAAATGAACATGATTACTGTAATGAGAGGAGCAGAGTGAAGCGATGAGGTGACAGAAACACGTTTTACAGAAATGTTTCGTCTCAGCTCGTCACTCGTGTTTCCAGCCACGGCACGAAAACAATGGTGATAAAACCTTGTGTCCACCACAGGAAACAGAAGGCAGACACAGTTAGAGAGCAACTGGTGAAGAAGGTGGAACATTTAGCAGCTAAAGAGACAGATATGTCTCTCAGGAGCTGGTGGCGGAGACCAAAACCAGAGCTAAAAGTTGAGTAAATATTGGATTTACATTCATCAGGTGAACAGAAACTCCCACTCCGGTGGGATCGTCATGTTGCTCTGCGTCTGCTGGACGCAAATGTTAATAACTGTCTAATCAGCTGAGACCACCGTCAGTCCCACTGAGGCGGGGACTGTTACTGCCTCCGCAGGTGTTACTGAAGCGGCGTTGCCAGGCTTCCTCCTCCTGGAGCGGCTGTCAAAACACCTTTAAAAAACACCGTCCCTCAACAGCAGCTTGGCAGCAGAAGAAAAAAGGACTTGATGAATGTTTCATGAAGCTGCTGTGGGAGTTATTGTCTGAAAAGGTACCGAGATCGGCCATAAAGTCCGGGGCTGTATGAGATGATGAGAGACGACAACACAGAGGAAGAGTGTAGATATTTCATAGGTTTCAAAGCTGGGTCGCATCACCCCCCCCGACACAGCAACAACTACTGTATGACTTGCGGCGATTTCTGGAGTCATACAACTTTTATACGTATGGAAGTACACAACTGTCTGGTGGGTAAAGGCAGACGTCACAATTACAGGCTTGCAGGCTGCCTCGCAGTGCGTGTGATGTATAATTAACTTCATCAGATGGGTTTGTTTGCCTTGCACTTGGAGTTTCTGCAAACAAAACCCATTTACTCTCTCACAAGTCGTGGAAGGCGAAGACTGTAATCGTCGTCATCTAAAGGAGTTCAAGCCAAACGCGACTGTCTTTACGCCAGAGTCTCGGGGGAGGGGCGGGACACCAGGAAGAGCAATTAAGAGTTGAAACGCTGATGCTTTAAAATCTCTGTGTGTAGAATCCTGTGATTAAAAAGCATCTTACGAACTTGAACGCTGGTGCAGTTTGTGTTGCTTCCTCATTCATTTCAATGAAACCAATTTGTTGGCACAGTGGGGGGTGGGGTGGGGGTGGGGGGGTTCCTGATGCAGAAACAAAACAGACAGAAAAGGTCTTCACCGGTCCAAAGGTTTGGACTTGGTCCAAAATGGATCCATGGAAAACGACCCAAGCTCAACAGGCATAAATCAAAGTTTAAATAAACAGAGGGAGGGAGAGAGAGCAGTGTTTTCACAAAACAAAAGAAAGTAGATCCTCAGTGACACAGCTGAAAATAGATCAGTCTTAACTTTAAGACTCTTTTGTTGTTTCGCTCTGAAGTGGGAGAGAAGTTAGAGGAAGTCTTGAGAACTCGTAAATCACTACGACACCTGGCTGAGTCAGTGTTATACAACATACTTTAAATACGTGGATGGTGACAGGGTTAATAAGACTCCAAACTATCCAATCACACTACAATAGCAGACGACAAACAAAAAATTAGTCGATAACTATTTCAAGAATCGATTAATTGTTGAGGTGATTTTTTTTCTCTCGACTCTCATGAGAGTCAGACGGTCACACGACACAAGACTGATGACGTCTCATTTAAGAAATTACAGGATGAAATTTCACTGAATTTTGACATTTAATCAACCAAATGATTGATGGATTAATCAAGATAACAATGGTTATGTTAATCCCTCAAAACGTGGGGGAGATGGTTCGTACAACTCCTCACCACAGTTCAGTTATCAATCAAATCAGACATGAGCTCTTCAGATCTAACTTTGTTCAGTTTCTGAAGTTTACAGAAAATAATCTACAATAAATGAACAAATAATCTGACCTCACGGCCTTCGCTGGATCATCAGGTAACACTGGTGCTATTTGTAGGTTTGTGTGTAAAGATATCTGATCCATAAGGTCGTATTATTCTGGTCGAGGTGAGGTGCTTTACCACGACGGAGTATTAGGGCCAAACTGAGGGAAGAAACCCTGAAATTTAGAACAAAGTTGCAATTTTATGAGAAAAAGTCATAATATTATGATGCATGTTTATTACCACTTTTTTCTTGTAATATTAAAACTTTTTTTCATGAAATATTGTTATTATCCTCGTCATATTCCGACTTTATTCTATTACAGAAACAATAAGAAATCTGTCTCTAACGTGAGAGATCCACAGGGTGAAAATGATCCACAGCAGATGTTTCGGTTCATACAGGTTCTTTAATAAAAAAAGATCCTTCACATGAGATGTTTTAACTGATGAGCTGAACGGGATGGATTTCATAACTTTTATGGAAAATAAAGTCCAGTGAGTTTTGGCCGAGGCGTGAGTGAGACAGACTCACGATCTTTATCTTAACCGTTAATCATCGTCTTCATCTTCGCTTGGAGGCGGGTGGGATCGCCGTGACATCACATCCTGTGGACGGGGTTGATGCCCAGGATTTCGAAGCCTTTAGCCATGACGGCGGCCGTGGCGTCGCAGAGCAGCATCCTCCACATGTTCACCTTTATCACCTCACCTGGACACAGACGCAGAGAGAAGAAACATTTAAGATTTTACGTCTGAGAATTTATTTTATTTTATTTCCTGAAAAAAAATAATTGACTGTTTTGACAAAACAAGCAATTAGAATATGTTAACCTGAGCTTCGGGGAATCTTTTCACTGTTTTCTGATATTTTATAGATTAAACAATCAATCAATTATCAAAAGAAAATAACTATCAGATGTATTGATAGTGGAAATAATTGTTGGTTGCAGCTGATTCACAGAAAGAAGGAAAAACAAAACTTTACAACAAATGAGCAACAAATATAAAGTTGGAGCCCGGAGGACCCGACATGGCTGCACTTCAATGGTGCAAATTTCTAACACATTTATGATTAATCAAATTATATCGACAGAAATTAGATGCAGTAATAACACGGAGTGTCATTGGGTAAATGGAGGTAAGACGCCTCGGATCAGGATCAGAGCCAAAGGGAAGTGGACTGATGCGTCTAGAGTCAGAGGGGACATGTGGACGCTCTAACGCCGGACTTCATCTGGACAAAACCGGTTGTTATGATTCACACAGATACGTAAATAATGTGATAATTACGTCTTTTCAAGTGAACATCACGTCCTTTACACGATCAAAGAAAAGAAAAACAAAAGAGATGAAGGTGATGAAGGAAAAGAGACACAGGGGAAAAACGAGAAGAGACTGGAGCGACGGCAAACAGGAAAACATTCAGAGGTGAAGCAGAGAACGACACCAACAAACAACAAAAGGTCAGAGGGCACATTTAATGATGCCACCATTACACAGCGGCGGGCCGACGCACCCTGGCTTCAAATGAAAATCAATGACCCGGACATCTGCATCCACATGCAACGTTCCACGACCGTCGCCGCCCACCGGGCCAAATCGCTGCACGGCGCTGAAATCCAATAGAAATTATGTCGGTAATGAGCAGCACAGGGTGCATTAAAGCAGACGAGTCGTTAAAGGGGCGGGAGCGTCGACGGGTGCTGACGGACGGCAAAATGAGTTTGTAATTTACACAAACAAGCCGACGCTTCCGAGTTTACGAGAGGACGACGGAGTGCAGCTGATGCTGAGGCGACGCTGACGAGAAAGAAGCTGCGTGGAGATAAAAGCTGTTTGAAAAGTGTTATTACCTTCTGATAAATTTACCAGATGTGAATTGATGGTTCAGACATTATTATTTAATTTAAAGCTCCATCCAGTGTAAAGGTCTGTGTCCATGTGTAGTGTGATTATAGATCAGCTCTAGCTTCTATATTAATACTGTGAAGGTATCAAAGCCTCAGTCCACAGAGAAATGCACACAGCCTGTATTCAGAAACTGAGCCTTAAAACCAGCCGTCAGGACTTCTGGAACTTTGTGATGTCACAACAAAGCAGTCACCAAGCCCCGCCCACCTGGACCCACCATCCAAACCGTTAGAGGATTTGGTTTCTCTGAGTGAAATCTGCTATATTTTTTATTCGATCACTCAGAAAACAATCAGCAAATCAGAAGAGAGGCTCAGAGCCTCCTCTCTTCTGATTGGCTCACAGACCTGTTGTTGCTAGAGCTCCAGAGAGAAGCCTGAGAGAGGAGGAAAGTATGTGGACAGAGTATTTTGTTTTTGTTTTTTTGCTGTAAAGCAGACAGAGTGCAGAGAGATGTGTTGATGATTATGTGCACACGTCGGCCTCACACACACCCTTCTCCTTTGCGACA